CTGTTGCAAATGCTGACACCCTGCGTTACCTCTCAGTGGAAATACATCAATTAAGTGTGGTTCGAAATCCACAAGCGCTGTCCTTTTGGTGGAGTGGTTGATATTTCCCTTTTCTCTACTCTGCTTACCCCTATCTGTCCAAATTACGTTCATCTCCATGGATCTCATTCTGTGTTACTGTAGATCTATCTAAGATGGACTGTCTCTAACAAGCGGAATAGACAGCACTTCTTACCCGTATTTCCCTAATATTCTGGAGTCAATGCCCGGAATTTAGGTGGCAATATCACAGCGTCCTGAAGTTGGGAAACATCTTTCGGCTGTCATTCTCTCAGACAGTACACTGGTTCCTAAATCTATGTCATTAGGTGGCCTAAAAATCAACCCGGTCTAGAATCTTTGATTCGATATTGCATCAGCTACAAATATGGCATGCGTGTCCATGAAATCCTTCTGTACCTGGTATCTACAGCAGAGTAGTCCTGACTTGAGATCGTTGACGACGTACTACCTTACCAACGGAAGTTCTTGCAGCGTACTAATGGATCGCCACTGCCGATAGAGGGATCGTGAGGCAACCGGATCTACCTGGTTTCGAATGGAAATCTCCGTTGAGGCTGTACTATGGTAGGAGGCACAAGTATTGTTAGCGTAGATTAGTAGTACTAGCTAGTTTTCGGTACGAGGGCCCGGCGTCCCCCAAGGCGCCAGCAAATCTTTGACCCCTTAGTGATGATAATGATTGGCACTGGCCTAGGAGCCAAACAGACTAATACTCCTTTAGTAAGATGTATCTTCGTCAATCCTGTGTCACTTACCAAATTTCTAGCTTGGAGCCAACAATATTTATGCCTCCTACCGTAGTAGGAACGGCCAGAGTTTTTCAGGGTGACACCGTCGATGAAAGTTCAGAAATGGCTGCCGTAGTTGTCGGTGGAAGCTGCTCCCGAAGACTCCGGCACGGGTAGATCTGCGGCATCGTTTGTGGCCTCGTCAATATCCACGCCATAGCCAAATAACCGCAATACCGGCACTGATTTAGACAGCATAAACGTTGTGATCCCAGATCGTACTGTCCTTTCCACTGATGTTAAGGTTCTTATCTGAATAGCCTCATAGAGGGAAGAACCCCTAAGGTTTGATCTATAGCCGGAGAAATTCAAGAGTCCCTGCATTTCAGCAGCTAAGGGCCGAAAAACGATTGTCTCACCATCTGTTAGACGATATGATATATTGCTCCAACCAGCGGAGGTTCGAGGGTCAGGACGAGGATCATGTTGTTTGGAGTCTCCGGAAAAGGATCACACGAGTGCTAGTGTTGTCGCAAATGGATAGAGGCTTGTAGCGTAGATCAACCTACATCCAGTCTATAGGAGGATTTCAACTGGAAGAGGTGCTTGGCTGTCGAAGGGAAGGAGTGTTGACCTCAGACGATCAATACTGAAAGATTAAATCCTTCTCCCTTACTATTTCCCCCCTGGTTTTTTCTACGGATCCCTTCACGATCGTGCCAGGATCGTGACAAGTAATGATGGATGGTATCTTGTATGGGCGTGGTATTGATTCGTTCATGGTCATTGGTCGGGTCTTGGTTCTGATCAAGACGGGGAAACAGCACGGAAGAAAATGGCCAACGCAGCGAGCTACTCCGGACCTCAGCCGGATTTAGGCACTGCGGAAAGCATCAAGCGGCAATCTCCACAAAAAGTGGATGAGCATTCTCATTGACATGTTTCAAACAAAAAGCTGCTCTGAGGATTCAAATGCCTCCTTTTCGCATGGAACACACACATTACATTTCTTATTTGCACAACACTTCTAGTGAGCGTAGAATTAGGCTGACCGATGACTGGCAACCCTAATTCGGGGGTTGGGTTGCATAAACGTTGTACGTATTACTTTTTTGTCTGTTATGCAGGCTCGACTTCTGATCTTGGGTATCAAGCATCGGGACTTCCTGTAGACAACTGAAATCTTCAAGGCAGTGTTCTTTCAACCTAACATATTACAAATATCTCTAAACACAGGAATGAAACAAACACTATTAATATCGCATTTCCAACAAAATTCATTACACTAAAAGTGATAGTCTTATTATGATCGACCATCGGACGTCTGCAAACTGCAACAAGTACTGACATCAGAAGTAATTACCCTTTGGCAGTGGTACGAATATTGCGACTGCCACCGCTGACAAAACAAATGCGCCGAGCACCGCCTGCAGAAAAATAGTGTCCTGAATCTGACGAAGTGCGGGTTCTTGAATCCAGACCTCTCGGTCAAATATCTTCCGAATGACATTTCGCTTCTCGTATTTTGCAATCCATGGCTCGTTCTCATAGCTGTTGTTCGATCCATGGCTTTCCATAGAGTCTTTCTTCATTTCATAATCAGAAGAGTCCTCTTCCGAGAACAATTCCCAAGGTCGGAGATGACGATGATGCATTCCGTGCAGAACCTGTCTTGGGTCAGCATAAGTGTCAAGTAGCAACAACGAGCTACTTACAACACACATGCCCTTCCATGCAGCAATCAAGGTTGCAATCCCAATGAAGAAGCCAATGGCAGAAAGAGCTCTCCAGCCACGACCAGCAGAGCTGAGGGTGAATATTACTGCACAGAGAAGGCCACCAACGATGCCACCAATACCGAGACCCCGAGCGAAGATGACGCGTGGCCGGTTGCCGTTGCAAATTGTGTATCGGATGAAGTTGGGATGTGCTTGATGTCGGAGAGTCCGTTCGATAGTGCTCACGACCTCGCGGAATGCAGAAGGATGAGTTGTGATGGACAAGGCACGAAGGAGTTTGGCCGACTCCTTATCAGAAAGATTCAGACATCGGGATCCTTCACTGGTGATATAAGTAGCGATAATACGTGAAATCTCCTCTCTGTATGGTTGAACGGTGACTGAATGCCATGAGCGGAGGGGTTGGAAGGTGGAACGGAGTTTGCCTTACATGGTTGAAATGCTTTGGCAGTCTCGAACGCGGCCGCCGACTGCTTGGTATGTGAGGTAGCTCGCCCACTGAAGAGAGTCGAACCGTCATCACCCCAGCCAGCCATCGAAGAAGACATGCTTTCCTTATCGCTAACTGGAGTCCTAGGTGGAGTACTGAAGGGGTTGTGCCCAGCTTCGTTCGTTGTCAGCTTGGCCTTGGCGTCGAAATCAGTCCCCTTAATGGCTTGAGACACCTCTTGTGCAGCTGTTCGTTTCTCCTCTGGACTCATATCGATGTCGGAGTTTGCCTTGGTGTGGATGATTTTGAGCTTGGATTGCTCAGGAACCCATGGTGGAGATAGATTCTTTTCATTTTCCGGCAACTGGTCAAATCTCTTGACGTAGTCGCGAAACCACAGGTAGAACTGCAGGTTTTCGGCCGAGTTCTCGATATACAACAAGAAGTTCATGAACTCGCGGGTGGTGCAGGGCTGGTGGGATATGTCAGCACACATGTTACAATGTCTGTGGGTGCGTGGAGAAAACATGGGCGCAATGTTAAGATATGCCCTTGTTTCCCTTGTGCGCAACAGGCATGATTTACTGGGCAGGTTCCTCTCTCGATAATTCTATCGAATGAAAGAGCATCGGGTATGCCATAAGGGCAGCTGGATCGAGAAGTGACCGACTCGGCATTGGCACTCTTCTCGCTATGAACAGACGAACCAGAGGAGGAAGAGACGTGTGCCGGACGTCTGTAGGTGAGCGAGTATACCATGTCTGGCGCGTGTCAATTGTGATGTGAAGAGTTGGGAGCTGGTAAGTAACTCAAAAACGTAGGGCTCTAAGGCTAAGACTAGGTACTGCTTCGGGAAGAGCGAGCAAGATATTGATGGTGCAACTAGTGCAACATGTTAGATAAAGCTCGTCTAGCTATCATAGAAGAATGACTCGGTGAGAAATTGCAGATTATAATCTCCTTTGCTAACCGTATACTCCGCGACTATCTGATACCTTGGACTGGCAGGGCCATACTAGTAAAATGGAATTTAGTGTTCGTATTGGCTCCATCTTGATGATTCCCCATGTCTAGATCTATCGATGGTGCTCTAGTCTGGGCCCGCTAACCGAGTCATGGGGACGAGCTAATGTTAAGTTGTTGGTAGATGATACGGATCAGGTGAATCCTATTGGAATGGATGATCTGATCCATTGTTTTGGTCACCCACCAACTAGCAACGGTCACGCTTACTACTACAGTAGGGCAGAGGCATTCATAGCTTAGGGCTAGTGCGAGCTAGTTTCATTTACAACGCTAGCCGTGGCCCAATGGGTGGAGCCCTTAG